GCACAGTGGGTTTAAGATGCTGCTTGCAACACTGGCATCCTATAAAGGAGCATTCATTCAAGTCTTGGCTACTCTGCTTTTGATCCAGCTCTGTCTCTGTCTCTCTGTTTTCCTCTTTCTCTTGTTAGTCACCCTTCAAATAAAATAAGTAAAAATTTTTAAAAAAGTTTTTTAAGGTTTATTTATTTATTTGAAAGAGTTACAGAGAGGCAGAGGCAGAAAGAGAGAGAGAGAGAGAGAGAGAGAGAGAGGGAGAGAGGCCTTTCATCTGCTGGTTCACTCCCCAGATGGCTGCAATGGCCAGAGCTGGGTTGATCTGAAGCCAGGAGCCAGGCGCTTCTTCCAGGTCTCCCATGCGGGTGTAGCGGCCCAAGGACTTAGGCCATTTTCTACTGCTTTCCTAGGCTATAGCAGAGAGCTGGTTTAGAAGTGAAGTTGCCTGGGCTTGAACTGGCATCCATATGGGATGCTAGCACTGCAGGTAGCAGCTTTATCTACTATGCCACAGCACCGGCCCCAAAGTTGTTTCTTTTAATGTAAAATAGCCCCCTTTTAATTCCAAGATGACAGGAAAGTTGAAAGAAAAGCCCAAAGAATTCCAGATATTCTTTCAAGTACCCCAAACGTTAAGATTTTACCACATTTAGTTTATTATTCTATCTATACAAGAGTACCTCAAAAAGATAATAGGAAAGCATATTTCAAAGTATTTTGCAGAAAATATAAACTTTTTTCATTTTTCATTCCATCTTTCCATGGGCTATTTTTAAAAAAGATTTATTTATTTGAAAGGTTGAGTTGCAAAGAGAGGAGACACACACACACACACACACACACACACAGATTCACTCCCCAGATGGCTGCAATGGCCAGGGTAGGGGCAGGTCAAAGCCAGGAGTTTTATCTGGGTTTCTCACGTGGGTGGTAGGGGCCCAAGTGCTTGGACCATCCTCTGCTGCTTTCCCTAGACCATTATCAGGGAGTTGAATGGGAAGTGGGGCAGCCCATATGGGATGCCAGAGTTGCATGTTTACCTGGTATGCCACAATGCCGGCACCTTCATGAACTTTTTGAAGTATGCTCATGTGTTTTTTGGTTGGAAACATTGAAAATAGTTACAGCTATAGTATCTCTTTCTCCCTCTCTCTCTCTCTTTTTAAAGATTTATTTTATTTATTTGAAAGGCAGAGTTACAGAGAGAGAGGTGGAGACAGACAGAGAGGTCGGACTTCCATCTGCTGGTTCACTCTCCAAATGGCTGCAACATCTGGAGCTGGGCCAATCTGAAGATGGAAGCCAAGAGCTTCTTTTGGGTCTCCCATGTAGGTGCAGAGGCTCAAGACTTGGGCCATCTTCTGCTGCTTTTTCAGGTGCATTAGCAGGGAGCTGGATCGGAAGCGGAGCAGCCAAGACTCAAACCGGTGCCCACATGGGATGCTGGAGTTGCAGGCCAGGGCTTAACTCACTGCGCCACAGAGCCGGTCCCAATGGTATCTCTTTAACCCGAAATACTTTAGCATGTATTTTTGAAAATAAGACATTATTTTATATAAATACGGTCTAATGATCAAAATCATGAAATTGATATTGCTATGATGCTATTATCTGATATCTAGACATTATTGAAGTTAATGTTATTTTATAAGAAGTATTCAGTATTTATAAAAGCATTTGGGAAGGGGTATTGTGGTACAGCGAGTTGAGCTGCTTCTTGGGACAACTGCATCTCATGTTGGTGTGCGTAGTTCTAGTCCCCACTACTCCATGCTTACCATCCAGCTTCCTGCTAATGTACCTGGGAGGCAGCAGTAATGGTCCAAGATATTGGGTTCCTGCCGCACATGTAGAAGACCTGGATGGAACTGCTTCAGCTTGGCCAGGCTCTGGTTGTTGTGGGCTTTTGTTTTTATTAAAAAAAAAAATTTTTTTTTGACAGGCAGAGTTAGACAGTGAAAGAGAGAGACAGAGAGAAAGGTCTTCCTTTCATTGGTTCACCCTCCAAATGGAAGCCGCGGCCAGCATGCTGCACTGATCGGAAGTCAGGAGCCAGGTGCTTCCTCCTGGTCTTCCATGTGGGTGCAGGGCCCAAGCACTTGGGCCATCCTCCACTGCCTTCCTGGGCCACAGCAGAGAGATGGACTGGAAGAGGAGCAACCAGGACAGAATCCAGCGCCCTGACCGGGACTAGAACCTGGGGTGCCGGCGCTGCAAGGCAGAGGATTAGCCTCGTGAGCCGCGGCGCCGGCCTGTTGTGGGCTTTTGGAAAGAGATGAGATTGGTATCTGGATCTCTCTCATGCTGCCTTTCAAGCAAATAAATAAGCCTTTACAAAATAAAATAGAATTTAGTTTGTCCTGTTTCCTCATGCTTATCCAAGTGAGACTCTTTGAATCAGGAACTTGTCAGTATGGAATCAAGGGGAAAGCAAGGAAGGGTTGTGATTTTTCTGTTAGGACATATGGGGCTGAGGCAGGATGGAGTCAGGACTCTTTCTGGAAATAAGTTGAAAAGATACAGAGGGAGAGAAAATTGGACAACAGATTTCTGAGGCTCATGTGAGGATGGGCACTTGTTCCTACTCCCCTCTGTACAGCGTCCAAAGCTTCCAGTCCCATCCCTGGGCTGTGAGAAAGACACATTCCATGCCAGATTAGGCACCTTTTGGTAAAAGACTCAGTGTGTCTTTTTAGCCATTACGGTTTAGAAAGCACACACATAGCTTCTTGGCCTTTTGGCTAAGATCAAGTGTGAAAACACCCCCCTCCCCACATACACACCCACCCACACCCACCTACCCACCCACACACTCACACCCCATTAGCCGACCTTTTAACAAACTGAGGTTTTGCTTTCTCTTGCCACACAGTTTGCCTTTCCAAAGAATTCTCCTTTTCATGTTTCTATTTTACTCCTCCTTCCCCACAGATGACAGGTAAATGTGAATAAATATACCAGTCATCCTGTACGCACTCTTTTTCACAGGAAACACACACAAAAGAAAGACCAGGATAAAAACACCCCATGAATTGAAACTGTCTTCCCATTGATGCTTAGGAATGGCTGAAATTTAGCTATCCAGGGCCACAGTGTCAGGGGCTGCTGGAACCTGGTTGTTTTTCAATTCTCATTTTCCATCACAGTGATCATGCCATCTGCTTTTTGTCACTTGTTCTTATCAGACACGCCAACACAGCCTACACTGGATATGAGAGGCAGACAGCATTGCCTGGTTTGACTCAGACATCCCTGAGGGCTGCACCCATGTGTCCCTCATCATATAAATTAAAGCTTCTTTATTATTTTGGGCGTTACTAGTTTTCAGCCTGGAATAGTACATTGGGAAATATAAGGAAAGAGGAACAAATTTATGACTTAGTTCAGAGAGAAATCCTAGGTCTATGCATTCTATAATCATTCACAACTCTCAGCTAGGTGTCTCCATTTGTTGAGGAGCAGAACACGCTTATAATCTGTATCTAAATATAAGTCTAACTCCTCACCAAATAAGAGAATTTAGGGGTGGGCACTTGGCCTACCAGTTAAGGTGAGCTGCTTGGGATGCTCATATTTCCTGTTGGAGTACCTGGATTTGAGTCCCAGCTCTGATCCCAATTCCAGGTAACTGCTGATAATGCACTCTGAGGACAGCAGGTGATGGCTCAAATTGTTGGGATCCTATCACCGATGCAGGAGAAACAGACTGTCCAGTCCCAGCTGTTGCAGGCATTTGGGGAGTGAACCAATAGATGAGAGATTTCTCTGCCTCTGTCTCTGCATCACAAATAAATAACAGTACAAAAAGCAAAAAAGTCTTTATGTTAAAAGATATGAGAATTTGGCAGCCAAAAGTAGTATTCAAGTCAGAAAAAACATTTTGGTATTTGATAAGATTCTCTGGTTCAATGATTACATCTCTGTTCCAGTGGATGACAGTATTGCTTGGCAGTATAAATAGGATAATTTTTTAGCTTATAAAGGTCTGAAATATGGTCTACTCCAATTCTCCCTTGGTCTTTCCACATATATGCCTCAGTTTACTCATTTGTGGCCCCTTCCTCTCAGGGGTTGTGAAGTTACATATGGCAGAGAGCATGCAGTCCTTGGTTCTGACCTGGGGAGGGATTTGGTGTTCACTTTATTCTGCATAGAGGAATGGCTATTTTCCATGACCTTCCAATCACAGGACAGATGCTAAATGCAAGATGTCTTTCTATGGGTTAGGAGCAGAGACTGTGGCTAAAGACAGAGACTAGAAATGGACTAGAAAGTGGACCCAGGGCTTTGATCTTGAGTAGTTCTCTACTTTCTTTGAATGTGGGGGTCAGGGCTGGAATGACCTAGAGATGCTGACATTCTCCTTTGTTCTGGGACAAAGACCACAAGGAGAATTTTTATTGTGAGTCTTCTCTTCGGGTAATAATGAAAATGAAATATTAAGAGCTCTTCATTATAGGCCTTGGGGAAATACGCAAATATGTTACTACTTTCTAAAATATGTTCTGATTAAATATCTCATTTCTCCACTTCCATAATTGGGAGATAATAGACCAACTGATTGTGCTAAATGGATTCCAGCAAGCCCTACTATTTCATTCCATCAGGAGGGAATACTTATTTCTCCACTGTCGCATCTTTATCTACAAAGGATATCTCATCCCTACAATTCGAAGTACATTTCTTTAAAAAAAAAAAAGGAAAAAAAAAACCCTAACAATGAAAGATCCTTTTTATTCATCTTTGAATTATATAAGATATATACATATATGTATCAATATAAATATGATGTAGACATGCATTAGCCCACAATGTGGAAAGCAATTTTTCTTGTTAGGAAGATGAGGGAATTTTTTTTTTGTATCCTTCATAAAGATCTTCTTTCTTTTGTTTGTTTATTTTTTTAAGATCAGTGCATTTTTCATGAACAAAAATAAACATTATAAAAAATTTAGTATTAATCCTTGAATTGCTAACATATGTTATCGTTTGTTTTAAACTCCTAGTTACCTCCTATACTATGTACCTGGGAAGAAGAATTCAGATAAAGTCAACAAAAGAAGGATGAAGTGTATACCATATGACAAACATTGTGCTCAGACCTGGATAGGTAAGATTCTAGAGGCAAGATTATGTATGCTTGTATCTCTTATTGTTTCATCCAATAATAGTAAACATATTGATGAGGTTCTAGAGATGGAGACATGGTTTTTGTTTGGAATAAACCGGGAAGGTTTCTCTGAACGGCCTGACCAGTTTTGAGGGATGAGTACAAGAGACAGTGAAGTGCTTTTTCCAGGTGGTGGTAACAGAAGTGGAAAGGAAAGTTTCCTACTGTATCATGTGTCAGGGCATACAGTTGTACTTTTGAATTTCTAGACTAGAAAGGAGTAGGACAACATGAAGGCAGAAGGATATAAAGGGCCAGATCATGAGGATCTCTAACGACCAGGCAAGGAACTTGCCCTTTATCTTATTGGAAATGGGGAACTATAGAAGGAAAGCAAGAAAAATGAAAGAAAATGGCAGATCTTCCCAGATCTCAGCTGCATTCCTGTCCAGAGCTTTGCTACTTAGTCACAGGGATACGGGTGATCACATCTCCCACGAAGTCTGCCAGCATTCATTAAGACCAATGCTTAATATCAACTGACAACATCAATGTCAAAATCAGAGCTTGGAGCTGGCAGTATTTCAGCAGAGGTGTCTTTGGAGCTTCCATGAGCTGGTTCAATAAGCAGTCTTGCTGTGAAACACGGAGCTTGGTATTTAGGAGGGTTTTAGCTGGCATTTCTACAAAGCTGCATCATCCTGTCCACTGGCTAATTCCATTGTGAAACGTTGAAATACAGCTCTTAGCTCCAAGAAAGCATGTAGGCCTCTATTTGCATGCAAATCGTTGCCATTCATGTGTGAACTCCAGCAGGTAACAGTTCTGCCAGATGGAATAATTTGGGGTAGGGCCATCCTCCTTGCTAAAGGCCACAGGTATCCACACATGCTGCAGTGTAGCTCGTTCCTATTTTCCACATCACCCCCTGGGGAATAATCATTTTAATAATGGGCCTCAAGGAAAGAAAACTCCATTCTACCCTGTCATCATCTAGGAAACAAAACGGTGCTAATTAGTGTAATACTGAGCTAATGTCATATTTGATGTAATTAGTAAATTGAGTCACAGGGCTGGCCTTGTGGTGCAGCAGGTTAAGCTGCCACTGGCAACACCAGCAGCCCACATCAGATTGCAGGTTCAAGTCTGCTTCCAGTCCAGCTTCCTGCTACCGGGCTTGGGGAGGCAATGGAGATTGGCCCAAGTACTTGAGCCCCTGCCACCGATGTGGGAGATTCAGAGTTCCTGGCTCCTGGCTTTGGCCTGACCCAGACCTGGCTATTGTGGCCATTTAAGGAGTGAACCAGTGGGTGGAAGATCTCTCTCTCTCTCTCTCTCTCTCTCTGTTGCTCTGCTTTGCAAATAAATAAATTAATAAAAAAAAACTAACAGAAACTAAGAGGGATAACAGGGCATGTGGTAAATTGACAGATTAAGAATATCAAGAAAACTCCCTTAGATTTTTTTTTTAAATTTATTTGACAGGTAGAGTTATAGACAGTATGAGAGAGAGACAGAGAGAGAAAGGTCTTCCTTCCGTTGGTTCACCCCCCAAATGGCCGCCATGGCTGGCGCTGCACTGATCTGAAGCCAGGAGCCAGGTGCTTCCTCCTGGTCTCCCATGTGGGTGCAGGGCGCAAGCACTTGGGCCATCCTCCACTGCCTTCCCGGGCCAAAGCAGAGAGCTGGACTGGAAGAGGAGCAACCGGGACTAGAACCCGGCGCCCAATGGGATGCCGGCGCCACAGGCGGAGGATTAATCAAGTGAGCTCCTGCCCCACTCCCTTAGATTTTTAAAGAGTACAGACTGCATGCAATTTTTTTTTAAAAGATTTATTTATTTATTTGAAAGGTAGAGTTACAGAGAGAGAGAGAGAGAGAGAGACAAAAGGATAAAGAGAGAGTGAGCGAGCGAGCTTCCATCTGCTGGTTCACTCCCCAAATGGCTTCAATGGCTAGAGCTGAACCTATCTGAAGCCAGGAGCCAGGAGCTTCCTCTGGGTCTCCCATGAGGGTGCAGGGGCCCAAGGACTTGGATCATCCTCTGTAGCTTTTCCAGGTGCATTAGCAGGGAGCTGGATCAGAAGTGGAGCAGCCAGTGGTGCCCATATGGGCTGCTGGTGCTTTACCTGCTACACCACAGCGCTGGCACCTGCATGTGGTTTTCAAGCAAAACCATTATGGTGTCAGCCCAGGTGCCCTATAATGGTTAGGGGAGCAGATGCCATGAACTTCTGAGGACCCTTTGCAGTATTTTTTTTTTTTTTATTTCTTTCAACACCTCTTCCTCCTTTTTTATGTATCGCTTTCCTCCTCTACATCATTGTCATCGTCATCATTGTCATCATCATCGTTATAATCTAGAACTGGAGTACCTGGGTTTCAATCACAGTTGTTGTTCTTCATTTTCATCATCTTCATCTAGAACCAGGACACTTGGGTTTCAATCACAGTTCTACTTCTTACTAATCAGAAGACTTTGAATAAATCACTGACGCTTCCCAAGTGTCAACTTAATTTGTAAAGTGAGTGAGGATGATAGTAGCTGATTGAATTTAATTCTCATCATATGTGGTAGGTCTGATGTAAGTAATTTAACAAACTTTCTGATACGTAGAAAACTTAATAATAACAATAATATTGTGAATATAATAGTCAGTGAAACTAGTTAAATTTATTTATCCATGTAGTATAATGCTGTGCTGGGATCACTGATTCACAGATGTGATTTTTTCAATAAACAGGAAGCTCTTAAGGATAGAGTAGATCTATTATTATCAGCAGTTTGCTCAGTATCTAACACTTACTAGGTGTTCAACAAATAGTTATTGAATACACAGGTTTTAAACACTAGTACAAGGGTACATCAAGCAGTTTGTGGAAAAATGGAACTAAAATATGTTTATGTTGGCACAAGTTTTGATATTTATGTATAGTTTTTTCACAATATACATCTCCATAAACTTTAAAAATAATTTTATAAAGTAACTGGCACATAAAATTGTACATATTTATGAAGTGCCACGTGATGTTTTCATATATTATACAATGTCCAATCAGTAAATATATCTATCCAAACATTTAACATTTCTTTATGGTGAAAACATGCAAAATGTTTTCTTCTAGTTTTTTTTTTTTCTTAGAGAAATATGTGCTACATCATCATCATCTGCAGTCACCTTTTTGTGCAATGAAATGCCGGAATTTCTGACTCCTAATTACCCACAAATAAACTCCATCCTTTCATTTCCCCCTGACGCCCCTCAGCCTCTGGTAACTATCACTATTCTCTGAACTTCCACGAGATCAACTTATTCCACATGAGTGAGATAATGTGATGCTTGTCTTTCTGTGCTTGGCTTATTCCACTTAACATTATGACCTCCACGTCCATCCATGTTGTTGTATATGTCAAGATGATATTATTTTTAATGGCTGAATAGTACTCCACTGTGTCTGGCTACACATTTTCTTTATCCATTCATCAGTTGAGGGACCCTTTCTTGGCTATTGTGAATAGTACTGCAATAAATACAGGATGCCAATGTCCATAAACTTTTCGAGATCCTTTGTAGTATTTGTTGTATTGTTATTTATTTTTCTTTCAACACTGCATCCTCCTTCATATTTCCTTCTCCTCCACCACCACCACCACCACCACCATCATCATCATCATCATTTTTTGATTTTCTAGTTCCAACGACAAAGAGATAAATTTTGTCCCAGAAGGATTCATTCTGATGATGTGGAAAGCAACACTGCAGACATTCACATGTCCTCTAGGGCTACCTGCTGGCTTATAGATCTTTGCTGCCTTTCATTTGAATCTCCAGATCTATCCATTATCTTTTCTCAGCCGTACTCGATGGATTAGTTTTGCAGACTTCATTAATCACTTTGCCCATCTTCTACCTTCCTGTTGGATTAAGCCAATGAGAATCCAGAAGGGTGAGGGGAGAATGAGGACTGTTTCTACTGGGTCTTGTTATTGCCTTTGTTCTCTCTGTTGCCATGGCTTCTGCAGATAATTTTTTCTTCAATTTCTCTTTGGATTTTGATATTCACTTCTTTTCCTTGCCCTTCCAGGCCTTTTTGTTTCCCTGTTACTCTGACCACTCTTCTGAAAATAGTCCTTCTATTAATTTCTCCCCAAGGTGGCTCAGCTCAAGGATGTCATCTGTTGGCTGTCATGATGCTGGCTGATACAAGGTTTGCGAACCCATGGACTTTGACAGGTTACCACCAAGGTCTCATGATCTTAGTTCCCACTTTCCAAATGACAAGATCTCACAGCCTCCTTTTCCCTGTGTTTACCATGTTACTAAATGAAGAAAAGAAGTGGGGGGCATCTCAGATGTAATGTAATGTAACCATAGAACTGCTCTTAGGTAAGTCCAGCTGTTTTTGCCCCTTCTGTGTTTTCTGTTTCTAGATCATGTTGTCATGATGTAGAAACATGTTGTCACACTGCTTAGGTGTTGGAATACTCTCTTCTCCTCCTCTCCCTCACTGTCTGCTCTGTTCTGGACCCTTATGTTGCTTGGAAATTTAGGCTTCCTTACCTGTTATCCTGGAAATTCTCATGGAGTATTTATTTATTTTTAAGAAATGCTTATTTATTTATTTTTCATTTATTTGGAAGGGAGAGAGGGAGAGGAGACATGTGGTAGCTGAGACTTGAATTTTTCTCCATTTATTTGAAAGGAAGAGAGAGAGAGAGAGAGACGGATAGAGATACTGATCTTTGATCTGCTGGTTTACTTCCCAAATACCTGCACCAGCCAGGGCTGGGCTAAGCAGAAGCCAGGAGCCAGAAACTCAATCCAGGTCTCCCATGTGGGTGGCAGGAACCCAGCTACTTGAGAGCCATTACAATGGCTTATAAAGTTTGCAATGCTTACTAAATATAGAGTTCCTGATTGCTTCATTCTGGCTACACTGGCTTTCTTGCTTTTTCTATAATAAATAAGACTAAAGCCTTGGTTGTATGTTTTTTCCTC